GATACATATAATCACTACTGATGCTTTTCTTCAAAACAGCATTTCCTGCATCTAAGTTTTTCTACCTATGAAGACAAAAATGGCTTAGAACATTGCTAAGGCAAAAACTTCTTTATTACTGGACTTGATATTGTGGATAAACCTTTCTGCTTTTGTAATTAATATGCTCAGTTTGGTGGGAAGCACAGAGAGGAAATCTAAGCAATTTCATTTCATCCACTGGGTTTTTACAAAGACACTAATGCTGCTTCCTAAAGGAATGCTAAAGACAAGAGTAGCTTTTGGTTTGATAAATGTACTAGATGCCATAGGCTGTCAGAGTGTTGTTTATGTGGACAGAATGGCCCAGGGCCTTTCAGTTGGTATCAGCATTCTCCTAATGGTGGTCCAGACCATCACCAGCAGACCCAGAGCTACCCAGTGGGAGAAAATCAAGCTGGGGTCTCCATGGCACAATTCCATGTGGGTCTTCTTTTGGATTCTCAATTCATTGATAAGCATGACTTTATACATTCCAACAAAAAACTAGCATAAAGACACCTAAAATTAGCAAAAGTGATAACTTTTGCTATTTTCCACCAGAAAGTCAGAACATGAAATGCATTTTTCTCACTCTTATGATTCCATGTGATGCTGTGTTTCAGGTTGCCATGGCTAAGGCCAGGGCATTTCTTCTCCACATGGCACCATCTTAGAACTCTGTGCTCTCTACCTTCAGAGCTCCATAGTTCTTTGCAAACCTCAACCAGAGATGAATGCTGACCCTTCTGATGCTTTGTTTTCCTTTCCTTTTAACTAGACAGCTTATATCCTATGTTCATATTTAACATTCTCCTTAGAGAAAGATGTCTTAGCAATGAGTTTTTAAGAATCTGTGACCCGTTGTTTGCCAGGCCATTTATGCCAATTCAAAGAGGTGAGCTTTGGCTCAAAGTTGGCATGTTAGTGGGTGAGAAAAATATTAGAACTTTTGTTTCATTCATCTTTTTGAATGTAAGCTTCAAAGTAGTCTTTGTTCAGTTATTCTCTGTGTAAAATACAATCACATCAAATAGCATAAACATAGACATATTCATAGTTGAACAACAATCCTAGTAACCTCCAGCTAAGGCTGACACAAAAACTAGAGACAAGTAGAATGATCTAGAAATCTCATTTTCACTCTGCTACTCTCAAAAAATTGGATGTAATTCCAAATTCCCTGGCTTTTATCATTTATGTGGGGGAGGGGAATCATTGTTACTGCTTCACACATGTCTATACTCTAATTTCAAGTCCTGAGACTAGTCTTTCACTACCCCTATTCTAATAATAGGGATTCACAAAAACAATTTGGTAAATTCTAATCAACATTATTAGATCAGGACTAATTGTACAAAAAGATTTGTGCTTTTAGATCTGTGTTAGGTAAAATTTATACATTGTAGTATTCCTTCTCTTGTAACACAACTATCATAAATACTAATGAAAGGATCTTTTGTGGCTAATTGATAGCATTTGATAACCCTAGTATTTCCTTTAGGTATATCTGCACAGAATGGGATTGAGGAACTTAGAAAATAATAGTAAGTTCAGCATGTATTCAGGTGGGATGACATAAACTTGTGATTTTAATAAGTAGGCAATACACGCTATAGTTAAGGCATTCAAAAGGAAGTGAATTTGATGTTAGATCACCATTCAGAAACCTCTGTTATTTGGTCTGTGATGGAGGCCTTGTGCACAAATGTATTTGCTGCACTGAAGACGTTCTTTTCTTTTCTGTTCTTTTTTGCTTATGTGGTGCTGAGGAATCGAACCCAGGGCCTCAGGCATGCAAGGCAAGCACCCTACCACTGAGCCACCTTCCCAGCCCCTGAAGACGTTCTTTTCAACTAAGTCAGAGGTGTATAGGAGCATGGGTGTGAGGACGCATTTCTCCCATGAAATCTCTGCATAACATTTGTGCTTTATTTCCCATCAACTGGGTGGCATTTTCACTTAAGCATATTTCTTATTGATAGAGTTCTTCAGTCTCTTAAGGATATTACATTCTATCTTTATTAAAATATTTAGTATTTATTTTCTTTTTCCTGGATCCCATATACAATATAATATCTAGCTACAGGGAATTAGGCAGGAGGATCCATAATAACACTACCAATTGGCAATAAGAAAATTATCATTTAATATTTTCTGCTCACTTTTACAAGCATTACACACTTCAGTTCATTGAGTGGGCACAGTATATCTGGGTAGTACAAAGCACCATAGCTAGTGTGTAGCTGAGAGCAGTGGATCTGAGAAGCTATATCTTTTGTTTTTAAAAGTCATTCATTTATGAGATGGGAAGGAAATTCAGAGTGTGGAATCTAGAGTGCCTAACAGGAAACCTTCTAGTGAGCCCTAAACATGAAACTTCTCAAGTTTAATGATAGCTCTCCATCATCTAGAATACATGCATCCTCACCACCACTTGTTGCACAAAACTGTGACTTAACTAGTTTCACAAAATCTGTGTTTGGTTGATTCTTACATGCTTGGAAAAAACTGATGCAATCTTGTTAAATTATTAACCATAAGTATCTTTTCCCAGCAGCCTTCAGAGGAGTTGTAGATGCATAGCTTTTCTAGCCCATGTGTAACACTATTCAGGAAAAGAAAAACAACATCTTTATTCCAAAATACATTGATATCTTAACAAAGTAATGTATATCTGAAAAAATGTTCAGTCCTAACTCAGTAGAAGACACAGTTACTGAAATGTAACCATGATTTTTTTTTGTTTTTTTTTAAATTTATTTATTTATTTTTTATTTGTGAACATACTGTACAGAGGGGTTACAATTACATGGGCAGGATAATGTGTACATTTCTTAACAAGCATTGCAGACTCCTCCTTTGGTTTACCCTTCACGTCCCTTCCCAGCCTCCCCCCTCCCCCCCAATCCCAACCCTTCTCCTCCCCCCCTTTACCCCCCCCGACCGACGTTGTAAAGATCGTTTTGGACATGACAACTTACACTTCTCGTTGTTGCATCAGGTCCACCTGTATCCTTAAACAACTGTTTTTTCCCCCTCTCCTCCACAAGTTATACTGACATCAAATATAGTGAAAGCGGGGTTTTTCTTTTGGGGGGGGGCCTTCCAAGCAACAAAGAGATAGTCTTATAAATGCGTTAGAAACACATACATGAAAGAAAAAACATTAAAATACATGTCTAAGGGTTCATTTTCCTGACATCACATTATCTGACCTTTCCGCTTGACTCATACATATACTAGATATTGCAAATAAGGGAAACCATGGGACCTATATTTCTTTGGGCCTGGCTTACTTCACTTAATATAATTTTTTCCAAGTTTTTCCATTTCCTAACAAATGTGGCAATGTCATTCTTTCTGATGGAGGCATAGAATTCCATTGTGTATATATACCACATTTTCTTGATCCATTCATCTACTGAGGGGCATCTGGGTTGGTTCCATATCTTAGCTATGGTAAATAATGTAACCATGATTTCTAAGTTTATTTAAAGATAACATGTCATTCATGGATTATCTGGATGGGTAATGTATAGAAACTCACCTTCTTACCTATGAGAGAACACTAAAATCCTGACTAAATATTTCATCTAAAGAAGATTATTTTCTATAGGCATTTAGATGAATATTCATGAAAACACACAGACCAACTCACCTGTCTTCCAGACAGGTTTATCAGCTCAACTCTGATTTAATGATGAACTTTAGTAGGAAGTGTGTTTAGTATTTAATAGCAGGTGCTATGTTAGATAACTTAGATGCTAGAATGGAAGCATAGGCATAGGAAACTAGTTTGGTAAGCTTGAGAAAAGGGTATGAGATCCAATTTAGGCTCATTTGTGATGAATATGGTGCAGTTAGCTGTGAAGTGTGATGGTTGGGCTAAAGATTGACTTGTGGACATTTTGATATTCTAAGTGTCAATGTCATATTTGTTTTGTGGAAGTTTAAATTAATTCACAAGTAACTATGACAAGAAGGAATTTTCCAACTGTGGAAGAAAAATATGGTGACATTTGGCATGTGAGGATTTAGATTATATGTTCTAAAATGTCATTTTGCTAATAAAAAGAGAAGAAGTTGTTCTATAAATCACAGTGTGAGTGATGAAGAGAAACTGACCTACAGAGGAGGGGCTTTCTGATTGAGAAAAATCACTTGATTTGACAATGTTTAAAACACAGAATCAGTTAAATTGTATCTTTGGTTGAAATCCATAGGACAAGAGCTTCTGTATCTGAATATTTTTCTGGTGTTTTATTAGAAGAGCACTCTAGGGAGAATGAAGAATAAAAGCAAGGTATATAAGGAGAAAAATCAGCTTCAATGACCTCTAGCCCATGTAGAGGTTTAGGAATTCACGTTAAACAACATTCTTAGTCCTATTTTTAAGGAGGCCTTACCACTAAGTCTTCACATAGGGCTGACGGAAAGGGCATATGACTTCTCCAGGAAAGCTGCTTCATTTGATTAGACAAAATTTTCTAGAGCAATTACAATCCTTTGTGAGTAATTCTTTGAGGAATAAATATGTATAGCATGGTAAAACTAACCTGGGTGGAGCACCAACAAAACCCACGAGAGCCAGATAACTTATTTATTAGGCATTTATTTTACAAGAATGCTCAGGAACTGGATGAGGAATTCAGTGAATGATATTGCCTTTGTTTAGCTTTTGTCCATAAAGACATTTATTATATAAATTTTAGATATGAAGGCTATAAAGAAAGGTGTTTGGGAAAGGCAAGTAGTAGCAATCATATGAATTTATGCCCAAATTGACACAGCAAAGAAAGATGAAAGAAAGGAAAAAATGATATCATAGGCTGTTAGGAAAGAAGTGCTTACATTCATATATTTCAGAAACTCTTCTTTTCACTAAGCACAGAAAAATCAAGACACCTGAAATACATCCTTTCACTCATTTGTGGTTTTCAAAATGTGTTTCCCAGCGCTGAGCACGAAGTCCAGAGAGGATGTGGAGTAACATCATTCAGAGGATAATCTTCCTTTCTCTTACTGGACCTGGAATTGTGGGCAACATCCTTGTATGTGTGAGACATGTGTACAGTTTTTTCACAGGTCCTGACAAAAAACCCATAGACCTCATCCTTATCCACTTGACTTTTTCTAATGTCATCATTATTTGTAGCACAGGGATAAGAGAGATAGCCAATGTTTTTTATGTCAGAAATTTTCTAGGTGATGTGGGTTGTAAACTTGTGATTTATCTGGAAAGAGTGGCTTGAGGGCTTTCCATCTGCACCACCTGTTTGCTCAGCATGATCCAGGCCATCACCATCATCCCCAGGACCACCCAGTGGAGAAAGCTCAAACCTAAGACTGCATGGCAAGTTCTCCCCTATCTCCTTCTCTTTTGGATTTTAAATTCTCTGATAAGCTCCAACTTGCTCCACTATATCACAGCAGTCAATAATACGAATGGATCTGGGCTTGGAATGTATGTTGTGTATTGTCATATGCTACCCTCTATGCAAATAGTTAGATGGCTTTTCCTCTCCCTCATGGCTCTCCGGGATGTGATCTTTCAGAGTCTCATGGGCTGCAGTAGTGGGTACATGGCTTTCTATCTGTATAACCATCATAACAGAGTCCTTTATCTTCATAGCTCCAGGTTTGCAAACAATCCTAGCCCAGAAATCAGAGCTACTCTAAGTACCCTTATTCTTATGGCCTGTTTCCTTGTCTTTTATTGGGCAGATTTCATTTTTTCCTTCTATACAGGTTCCCTCATGACCTTTGACTCCATCATAATAAATATTAAAGTATTTCTAGTTCTTGCTTATGCTAGCCTCAGCCCCTTTGTTCTGGTCATCAGAGATATTCGTGTTGCCAAATACTGGTGTTCTTTCTGAGAAATACAGAAATTATATATCCATTCCTCCATAACCAAAAGTATAAAAACGAGCAATTGGTTTGACCTGCTCTTCTAATATTTCAGAACATTAACATTCATTTAGACACATTTTAATAGGTTTATTTACATTTTTAATAGATCTCATCCTAAGCAATCTAAAATGGATTCATTTGTTCCAAGAATTTAGCAGGAAAGATTCTTATCAGCCTCCCATTTCAATCATCCCTATCATTTAGCTCTATTTCTTGCTTTCATGGGGAAAAAATTAGAAATTAAGTCTGTTACCATAATTTCTTGTTGTTGTTGTTGCTGGTCCTGGAGGATGAACTCAGGCCCTGAGTATAATGCCTGAGCCTGTTTTGCCCAAGACTAGTGCTCTACCTACACTGGAACCACACTGCTACTTCTGGCTGCTTCTGAGTAGATAATTGGAGATAAGAGTCTCCCAGCCCTTCCTGCCCAGGCTGGCTTTGAACCATGATCCTCAGACCTCAGCCTCCTGAGTAGCTAGAATTACAGGTGTGAGCCACCAGCTCCCAGCTGTTGCCATATTTCCTGAGCTAAAGCTCTTCACCAAACAGAAACCCCCAACTATTTTCTACCTTTGTGAACCCTCAAATGGATTTCCTTGCTTACAGCTCACACAAGGTTTTGACTTGGGATGCATACTAAGTATATAGACTATGGCTCCAAAAGAACAATGACCTTAAGAACAAATTATGAAGAAGCTGTTCAGGTATTATTCCTTTTCTGAGTTCTACTTTTAGGACAAACTGATGCTGATCTGTAAGAGACTCTAACTCTCTACACAACAAGGGATTCACTTGGCACTTGCATGGCATTGGTGCTTCTGGAGTACTAAGGAAACTGACAAGAAAAAAATAGCGAACCAGTTACAAACCTAGTAAAAACCATGAAGTATAAGCATCAAATATATAGAATAGCACAAAGAGATATGTCTTCCTTTAACAGAAGCAATCTCAGGTTTCAGAAAGATGCTAACAAGTAGGCTCAACTTAATAACTACTGCTATATTAATGCCATGAGTTAACCAGTTGTAACTCTGGAGCACCAATCTTCCATTACTGATCACAGTCATTTCATGGACTACCAAGTACATCTGAGTTTCTACTTGAGTTACAATGGTTGAGGGATCCTGGTACACGCTGGGATTGTACTACATCTTCTCTTGACTAAATTTAGTCCTCAACATAGAAAAAAACCCAACATCAGTATGAAAATTTCTCAATAAATTCAAGACAAATATCTATATGACTAGCCCTATCATTTCAGTGAATATTCAAGCCATTTTACTGTGGAGGTATTTTCACACCCATGTATACCATGTCACAATTCACAATAACAGAACAATGGAACCTGTGTAGGTGTCCATTAGTAGATGAATGAATTAAGAAAGGGTAATATGTGTACACAATGGAATTTTACTTGCCTACAAAAAAGAAGAAAACTAGATGGAACTGGTGATAATCATATTTACTGAAATAAATGAGTCCATCCAAGATAGGTTACATATTTCTCTCATTTATTGGAGCTATGGAAGCAAATCTTAATGGAAGATCAAGCTCATGAAAGTAAAAGGGGTGACTATGGAGATGGAATTGGAAAAGAGAAAAGATGGAGGTGAATATAATCCTAGTACTTTATATGCAAGTAAGGAAATATAAGTAAATTCTTTCCATTGTACAATTAATATATACTAATAAAAATTAAAATTTATCCAAAGGATGTGTGTGTGTGTGTGTGTGTGTGTGTGTGTGTGTGTGAGTGTGGGTGGGTGGGTGGGTGTGTAGGCACACACACATAATACTTAAATGAAATTAAGTATCCTCAGGTTACAGTAACTCATAAACTGATAAATTCTCACTAGGAATTCTCATATGATTCGTGTTTATAAGACATTGTATAAATTAAAATATGACTCAATTTGTGAGAAGTTAGATATTAAACCTATAGAAATTTTGTAACATGTGTTTGTGGATTGTAAAGAGACAGATGAAGCATAAGGCAAGGTTTATGAAAATATTTGATGGGTATATTATCAAATTAGACTTTGAAAAAACATACGGAGAAATGTTGGTTGGAATAATTAGGGATCCAACTCAGCAAGGCTGAGATTCAAGGTAAATTAAATGGGTAAGTATCTAAGCAAGTAGATCGGTTATACTATTGTAAATTTTATAAAAACTTGAGTGAGATTCTTCAGATTTTAATATGTTTATTCAGAAGACATTTTAGACTACTTTTGATGGCCACGAAAATGCCAGAGAGCAGAAGTGGTGCTGTGGCTCAAGTGGTAGAGCTCTAGCCTTGAGTACAGAGATGCTCAGGAACAGAGCTCAGGCCCTGAGAACAGCAAAAGATAGGAGAACAGCAAAAGCCAGTTACTATATCTCCTTATATAACTGCTGTTATTTATATTAGTTTTACATTTATCTACTGTAACTGGCTTTTTCCCCCCCATATTGCAAATAGAACCAAGCAGAGAGGTCCTTAAACAAGTCAGTGGGAATCAATCCAAAGAATGTAATACTAGGACTGGGAAGGTGGTTCAGTGGTAGAGCCCTTGCCATGTATGCTTGAGGCCCTGGGTTCGAGTCCACAGCACTAATAAACAGAAAAAAAAGCCAGAAGTGGCACTGTGGCTCAAGCGGTAGAGTGCTAGCCTTGAGCTAAACAGCTGAGGGACAGCGCCCAGGCACAGAGTTCAGGCTCCACAACCAGACGACCCCCCCAAAAAAAAGAATGTAGTACTAAAAATGTAATTAAGAATGACATCAAAGAGTTAAATTAGGAGCCACACACCAGTGGCTCCCATCTGTGATCCTAACCACTTAGAAGGCTGCAATCTGAGGACCATTGTTGGAAGCCAGCCCAGTCCTAGCCTGTAAGACTCTTATCTCCAATTAACCAAACCTGCAAAGTGGAGTTGTGGTTGAAATAGTAGAGTGCTAGCCTTGAGAAAAGAAGGGGAAAAAAGGTTAGTGACAGCATCTCGACCCTGAGTTTGGACTGGCACAAGAAGGATGAGTTGAAGAAGAAACAATCATCTGGACTGGACTTCAGAAAATACTGAGTCACCATACCCCACCAAATACTTCACAGTAATAATTAGGATCCGGATATTATTGTCAGTTTATATGCCAAGCCTCTAAATCTACAAAAATGTATGTTTCTATCCTTTCCTCACTATCTGGGTACTTGTTTAAATGCTTACCTGTGCCCTTGGGGAATGGTAGGAAGATTTTTAAGTTTACAGAAAGAAAGGATCAAATATATTTTAAAACATAAAAAATGTCCCATGTTCTAGTAGAGCAAGTGTATCACAGACAATAAACAAGGACACAGGGAGTGAACAATTTACTTTTGAATGATGAGTGGGTCACCAAAGAAATAGGAGGTGAAAAATCAAGAAATGGCAAAGATCAAAGGAAAAGGAAAACAGTACCCTTGGGATACAGGAAAAGAATGAGTAAAAGGAAAAGTTTATAACTATGAATGCCTACATGGGAAATTAATCTCAAATAAATAGCCTAACAATGCATCTCCACATCCTTATATAAACATAATTAAGCCTTCAATTAGCCTCAGATAACTTCTGAGCCAATCAAAAGTAGTAATTGTGGAGGGAGAAGAAAAGCTGTACTTCAGGGATTGAGATTCTTCAGAGGCATCCTTCTGTCCAACAGGAGGACCTCTGTGACCTGAGTGAAGTCTCACTCAGCCCAGATCTCCACAAACCATGGAGGTATAAATAGGATCTGGAAAGATTCAGCTTGCCAGGACTACCCCAAAGCTTGTCTGCATCACAGCTACTTAGGTGAGTAGACTTGAAAATTTTGTTATCACATAGGCCCTGTAGTATTTCTCAGACACATTAATATTAAGCTGTCTTTAGAGAAGCCCTGGAGTTGCTAACAGAGTCTTGAACCTTCACTCATTATTTTACCCTTACAACGGCATGTCCCTAACACAAGCAACAAGGAAGACCATGTCTAAGAAAAACACTCTAGAAATATTTAGTTAATTCTCTTTTTTTTTGGTTCAGGATTAAATAGCAAGCTTCTACTCCAGGATGAGCTTTGTATAAAGTTGTGTGGATATCCACTTCAAAAAATCAGAAAGATATAAAAAATTTTGAAGGTTCTAATTTTTTAAGCCTCTAGTTTCACTTCTGAGTCAAAGTATTGATGAGTTTGTGGAGTGGGAAAAATATTTTTTCCAGACAGTTTCCTTGTCCCTGACCAGGCAACTGAAATTGAAATCCTGGTGATAGTTTAAAATAGCCAAGAACTCCACAAATCCTAAGGGATTAAAATATGATTTGAGGAGGGTACTAACCCAGAGCTTTTCTGCACTACAGCTACAAGAGATTTGACTTGCTTCTTTGATTCACTCACATATGCACGTTAATTCTGTGAGAGGCATGGATGTTTATCTTTCTTTAATTAAGCAATGAGTTAAGGAAATGGATCCCTGAGCCTTTAGATCTTTACTCTCTTGATAACTAAAGGAATGTACCTGGGTTCAAAGAAATACTGGATATCATTTAGAGCAGATATCATTTGACAAATGCATAAGATTTTTTTATTCTACTACTCAGGACCTTCTCTCATTAGGCACCTTAATGATAGGTCTTTGTACAAGGTCTCATGTTGGTTTCTTCTAGCAATTAGAAAAGAACCATTTAAGACTAAGATTTCTAGGAAAAAACCCCCTCATTTGTAGCTTCTATTTTTATTGACATGATAGCTGACTATTCATAATTAGATTTCACAACATTTCTTTGCCTAATGTTTAATATATTGCTATGTTTCCAATGGGATATCCTTTGTTCTTTCAAAATAATTCTGTAATTAGTATATTACATTTAATTTTGAAGATATTCTTTCTGCATCCATTCTTAAATATCTCTCAACACTTAGACATAACATTATATCACACAGTGTTGTCAACTAATGTGCTTATTTATTGTTGGCCTTATTCATTAAAATATAATTTCATATTATGGGTATTCTTTAGAGAATTCGTATTATGTTTCAGACAGGCTGCTTGTAAGTATAACTTGAGAAAACTCAGCTTAAATTTATCCTAGTTATGATGTTAGGGATACTGAGCTCATAGTTTAGTTGAAAAGATTGGGCCTAAGATGGATGCACTTATTGGCCTATGCTGTGCTTATTAGGTCTAGATGAGATATTATGCCCCTTGCTGAAATAACTTCCTGCATTATTTCAAAACCAATCTGTTACAATATACTTCTTGCTTCTTTCTTTTGGCATTCTTCATTTCATTCTGTCAGAATGAGAGGGGACTTACTCAGTGTCTCAGAAGTTGATTCTAAATATTATTTAGAGCCAGAGAGATTTGGGAACTTGAGGATGGGCTAGGAAAATAATGGAAATACCAACAATGTTTCAGTAAAAAGAATAAAAAAACAGCTTAGATGAGTCCATCAGGCAATTGAGGAATACTGACTGCGATCATTTGAAACAAACTCAATGTCTGAGTGTGTGTTTATTAATTTTGTGATCCAGTTTTGTTACACAAAATGACTAAGCAAAATTTTGAAGATCATAGCATAATTCACTATATGCTAGACATTTAGGATTGTGATTCTTAATGCCTAAATCCAGACATTAATTTCCCCATTTGTGAGAAGAGAAAATAATAATTGGATGGCAATAATTGATATTTGTAGAATCATTGAAATGTCTGGCATTGAGAACTTTAAAATTATTTAAATTCCCTATAGTACATCTAAGAACCTGTAACTTGAAAGTGCATAGAGTAGGCTACATTATTATCATCACACAAAAAATATTATTATAACACACTGATACTGTTCACTGGCAAACAAACTTAAAATCACAAAAACTCTACTTGTTGGATTTTGAGTTTTATTCAGCCACGTTGATAATGAAGGTAGGTGGGACAGATAAGGAATGGCACTAGTCAGGTGGTTTTACTAGTATGAAACTATGAACAAAACCAAACAGGTGGAGTGCTGTGCATTGGTGGATCATGCCAATAATCCTAACTACTCAGGAGGCTGAGAGCTGAAAATTGCAGTTCAAAGGCAGCCTGGAGTAATACTCTTACCTCCAGTTAACCAGTAAAAACTCAGAAGTTTGTCCAGGTCCTGGTGGCTCACGCCTGTAACCTGAGCTACACAGGAGACTAAGATTTGAGGATCATGGTAGAAAGCCAGCCCACTTAGGAAGTCTATGAGACTCTTATGTCCAATTAACCACAAAAAAAAAAAAAGGAAGTTGAGCTGTGGCTGGCTCAAAGTGAAAGTAGTAGGCCTATAACCTTGAGCACCCAGCTTAGGGACAGCATTCAGGCCCTGCATTCTAGCCCACAACCACCACCACCAACCAAAAATAGATGTGCTGCTCATGTGGTAGAGTGTTAGTCTTTAGTGAAAAAGCCAGGCCAGAGTGAATGAGTGATTATTCAAAAATATTTTTAATGCTCATTTCTTTTGTTGTTTTTGTTTCAATTTCATTTTATTGCAAGGGTTATGTACTGAGGGGTTATAGTTAAAAAGTAAGGTGATGAGTACATTTCTTGCCAAACATTGTTTCCTCCTCCCTCATGTTCTCCCACTTTCCTGCCTCTCCACTGCCCTCCCCCCACCAAGGGGTTCATTTCCAACGTAGTATTTTGTGAGTACTGCTATGTCATTGGTTCACTCTTTGTCTTTTGTCTCATCATTTTGTTTTTCCTCTTCCCTTTCCCAAATCAGATAAACATACATATAAGACCCATGGCACCAAAATAAAATACAGTGACAACAATGTGTTATTATTCCAAATGGCATTTTACAATAATAAAAGAAATGAAAAGGATTGCCACACAAAGGAGGATTTTGTGCTCAAAAACTCTGCGTCATTGTTATAAAATGAATGTCCCTATACTTGAGAAAATTGCTGAAAACAGGAGCTATTTTTGCAGATAATTACCACCATTACTGATGCTTTTTCTTCACAAGGGCATTTGGTGGATCCCAGTTTTTCTGACATGACACAAGAAAGTATTTCGAATCTTGTCAAGGGCACCATCTTCCTCTTTGTAACCACCCTTGGCATTGTAGGGAACATCATTGTTTTTGTGAATTTTGTATGTAGTCTTTGGAGAGGTGCTCAGAAGAAATCTGTACATCTTATTCTCATCCACTTGGCTTTTGCAAATACTATAATACTTCTTTCCAAAGGATTGCTAAGAGCAATAACAGCTTTTGGTTTAAGAAACTTCCTGGATGATATAGGCTGTAAGATAGTTGTTTATCTGGAGAGGGTGGCCCGGGACTTTTCCATCTGCACCAGCACTCTCCTCACTGTGGTCCAGGCCATCACCATCAGTCCCAGAGGCTCTGTGTGCTGGAGATTCAAGCCAAAGACTCCAAGGAAAATTCTTCCCGTGTTTCTCTTCTTTTGGATCCTTAGTTCCTCTAGTAGCATCAACTTGCTTCATTACATCACAAGTAGCAGGAAAAACATGTCAGAAGCTGCTAAAACTAACAATTATTGTTCTTTTCAACCAGAAAGTCAGGAAATAAAATGGATACTTCTTATTCTAATGGCCATACACAGTGTCATGTTTCAGGGTATCATGGGTGGGGCCAGTGGCTACATGCTATTTCTTCTCCACAAACATCACCAGCGTGTTCTCTACCTTCAGAGCTCTCACCTTCATAAAAGTCTTCCTGAAATGAGAGCTGCTCAGAGTGTTCTCCTTCTGATGTTCTGTTTTCTTTTCTTCTATTGGACAGATTACATTTTTTCTTTCTTTTCAAATTCTTTCTTACAGAATAATTCTATGATGTTAAATGTCCAAGAATTTTTGACCATCGGTTATGCATTTCTCAGTCCCTTTGTGCTGATTCACAGAGAGGGAAATCTGGATAGTTGCAAGCCTTGGAGGAGACAAAGGCATTAAGAAAATGTTTATTTCAATGACTTTATAGTAAGTTTTAAAGAGTTCTTATTTCTGTTTTGCTGGTTATCAATATCATTTTTTTCTAATCTGCTATTTTATTTTTTTTTGTTGGCCGCCGCCTCTTGTTATTTTTTGTCGTGCTTTGTTGGCGGGGTGATCGTAGAACAGCATGATGGGGTTGGGATTTTTTGTTCTAGTTTGCGTTGTTGGTTTTCATTCCTGTGTTTCTGGGTTTGGTTTTTTCGTTCGCCTTAAGTATGTAGTAGGCAGGCGGGAGTGGGTTTTTGACTTTTTTTGTAGTGTTGTTGTTTTTCTTTGCTTTGTTGCGGGACTGTGGTTTGTCCGTGTTTTTCGGCCCTATGGGTGGTTTTTTCCTAAACATAATTTAAATACTGGCTGACGTGGAGTTTTTTTTTTTTTTTCTCCCTTCTTACGTTTTTTTTTATTGTTTTTGTTTCTTGGTTTTTCATTATTAGTTAATATTTTGTTGTTAGGTAGTGACTTGTTTTGGCTGTTTTGTTGGCTCTTTGTTTGTATTTTTGCTTTGTGGTCATGATCCGGTTTCTAAGTTTTGATTCTTGCTTTGGTTCATTTTTTCGTATGCTCGTTTTGAATTGTAGCGCTGATGGAGTTTTTCGGTTTTGATCGTTCATGTGGTTCGTTTTTTCATAACTACAATTTAAATATTAGCAGAAGAGTTGTTTTTGGTTATGTTAGAATGTCGGTAGGCATTTATTTGTGTAATTATTGTCGTTGAATACGCTTTTGCAGTTTAATTGTGTTTACCCTGTGGAGACATTTTGTGTGGTGTTATTTGCATGCCTAGTTCTCTTTGGCTCAGTGTCAGATGTTTTTAATTGGTACCTAGATTCAGGACATTTTTTAGAAATGTTTGCCTAGTGGGTTTGCTTTGCTTTTGTATGTTTCCGTATTTTCCTTGGTTGTTCAGTGTGTGGCTTCCTGTTTTTGAGAAGTGCTTCATTAGTCATATTTTGGACCAGGTTCTGGTGTCTTTCTTGTCCTTGTTGTTTCTTAGTTATCTCCTCCTGTTCTTCTTTGCTGTCAGTGTTTTTCTTCTCTATGGGTTGTCTATTGATTTGCTTCTACATTTCTGTTCATGGGATATGCGGTTGTTCATTTTTCACTTGGAGACATTCTGTATGTGTGTAGTCCTAAGTTTTTTCATCTTATAGCTACGGTGAGTTTGGAGCTCACCCGGGTTGGAATGGCTCTGTTTTTGAATTGTATTCATTACCTGTGCTGTATGTGTTGTGGCTCTGTGTGTCCCTTTTTGTGTTGTTGGTTTGAGTGTATACTTGTTCTTCTCGTTTGGTCAGTAGTCTGGGGTTTCTTCGATCGCCTTTTGATCGCGCTCTCGTCTGATGCGTTCTTTCGACTTTTATGTCTTTACTCATTTGGTTACAGCCGGGTCGGGAGTGTGGCTCCCGTGGTAGCTTGACAGTAGAACAAACATTAGGCCCTGAATTTAAACACTAGTACTGATAAAATTAATAAGTTTACTTACTGATTAAGCTTAGAGTACAAAACCTTTGTGCTGACAGAGATGCCCTTGTTTGTATCCCATGCTATATTACATCTTATTGTCCCTAGAAACATTAGGTTTACACTGCTCTACTTAACAATGCATGCTTCCTTGGATTGGTTGTATGTACAGCTCTTCAGTTATTTATAATATTCCAAATGGGTAAAGAGCTTTCCTTCCTAATAGAAATATGGATTACTTGAATACATATGTACCATAATTTTCACACATATCTCTCAATGGAATTATAAACAATCTAGAAACATTTTTCTCAATTCTATTCTACATTGTTCTAATCATATCTTGCTCTGAAATCTACTGCAGAATTCTGATGGATCCACAGAACCTCTTGAACTGTCAACATTATTGGATGCAGTCTAGCAAAATACGCAGACCTAGCTAAAATCAAATCATCACACTTAATGCTATCGAGCTTACAAATTTAGTGAATTTAAAGGAAATATGTTTGATCAAAGAAAATTAGATGACCACATGGAAATGGATCTTATTTAGATATTAAAGGCCAATTGCAAAATTATTCTGAATTCTTCAAAAGTGAAAAGTCAGAATATTTTTAAAGAAAAAAGGAGGATCTTACAGACAGCAACACATCAAAGAAATATTTGAACAGAGCAGAGTGTTGGATTTTATTTTAAATAAACATAGGTAATTAATAAGAAGGAAATAATCAACGGTACTTGAGCAAATACTAGTAAGCAAGGGGATTATGGTAGAAGTTATAATGAAATATATTTAATAAAAAACAATTCTGTCTGGATAAATTTATAAAACTCTCAAAAAAACCTCTTCTTTAAGCTCTATAAGGATAGAATACAAAGAACTGCATCACTGACCTCTCTGAGTCTGCCCACTAGTCTCTGTGAGTGTACATTCTCCCTTTTCTTAATAAACTTTACTGGTTTTAATACAGTTTGCTATTACTTTATGTTTCATGTCTTTCTTGAAATCTTCTTGCATGGAAATGCAAGGACCCCTACTAATAATCCTATCATTTTTCTGATACTGTAGGGATCTCAAATTGTTTGATGTATGTGTATGTACATAAACATACATTTATATAACTTATACTGCATTCTATAAACCTATCAATCTCAAGTAGGAAAGCAAACTACGACACTGGAGATTTCAGATTGCTCATACATCACTGTGTGGTTGCATGTGAAAAGAAACCAGAAATTTGTAAACAAAACTGTCAGTTACTTTTAAACATTTCTCTGTGCCTTTCTGAGAGAGAGACAGAGAAAGACAAAGAGAAAAAATACATAATGCACTGTGTATAAAAATACAAAGGAACGATTTATATTGCACAATTTAATTTGACAATATATTCAATGATCAGTAAAAAGTTTGAAATCTTGCACCAAATAATTCTCCCAAAACCAGAATATATAAATATATAACATGACACATGGATGGATGGATAAATAGAACCTGTTATGACCACTCCATTTCATTACAAAGTCTTAAAAAAGCGATGGTTCAATTTGAAAAAGTCATTTATTTTCATTGTTGTTACAAGGGCACATGTAAGATGCATGAATATAGTCAAGAAAAAGAAAACAAATAAGTGGGCTATCATTGTGCTTGAAAAGTGCACATTTTACCCATCATTTTGAATTACTATTGAAACTGCTGTATACATTTCTTAAAATGATACATTTGTTTACTATCAGCACATTGCCTGTTTAATATCCACATATTGAAGCACTTTGATCTCTCTATTACATTAAACACAGGAAAGCTTCCTCACAATATGCTACCTTGAGTACCTTATTTCAGAGAGGATACAGACTTGGAATCCCAAAAATGTCTTAACTAAGAGAATGCTTACAAAATGTGTTGGAAACCTCTGAGAGGTATGGAGATTGCTACTTTCTAGATTAATGAATAAAAACCTGGAGTGGACACTCTTTCAGGAGTAGAATGAGGAAGAATGGGCTTAGTGACTTATAAAATAGTTGAGACTATTGGAAAATCATTGCTTGTGTGGTCACTCTTTTTTCCCTGCCGCCTAGAGCTCCCTGCAGGAAGCCCATGGCTGAGGCCAGGGCCATGCTGAGAAGGAACTACCTGGAGTAACAGCCTCTAGCTGCCACGAACCTGGTCAACATCCTTGTGTGCTCACTGTAACCCACAGGTAGTTGACAGAGGCTCACACATTGGTCTCAATGGCGTCAACCTCGGGAAAAACTCATCTGGACCCCTTATTCACAGCTAATGAAAGAGTCTGAGAAAGGACACCATGTGTCTGTTCACACATTGTCTACTGGTAGTACGGAGTTTCTACCCAGTGTTTCTGCTGCTTCTCTACACTGCAGGATGAAACTTCACGGGGACTATTCCTTGTTCCTGAGGCTCTTGTCCCAGGTAGTTAGGTCAGATCCAAGAATTTTTCCCCAAATATCTATATGTATCTTAAGATAATTTTTTAAAGCAAAGACTGACTTGCTTTCATATGAATTTCCAATGGATCCAGCACTTAAATCTTTAAGACGATCTTCTTCTAAGACCCAAGCAAGGAGGGCCATAGACTTTTCTTTCAGCTCTATTTTGTATTGTGTTTAAGTGTAGATAAACAAATCACCTATTTGGGGATGGAAAGGGGAATTACAAAAATGGTCAGGCAAAGGACAAAGGGTGAACCAATGCAACAGTGACCCTCACAAGACAATATGTTGGAAATGAACTTAACAATTGCGGGGGGGGGGGAATCTGGGGAGGGATAGCAGGAGAAAACAAGGGAGGGGGGTAACAATGTTCAACAAGAATTACACTCATTTCCTTACTTATGCAACTATAACCCCTCTGCACAGCACCTTTACAATAAAGAAAGAAAGAAAAGAGAAAGTTTCAAGCAAGTGGGAAAAAACAATGGAAAGGGGAAGGAATGAGCACTCCTATTTTTTGAGTCCTATTTACTGTTGAATAAATAAGGAATCACAATCCACATATAGCAAAGTCCTTGAAGTGTCCATGCACATACATAGAATTAGGTGATTCTTATCTTCTCTAGAAAAATGGATGGGATTTGCTCAGAAAATGGAGTGCCAAGTACTAACCATTCTGTATTAATTTCACATATTTACAGAAGGACTTGAGAAAGAAATGGAAGTGGCACTCTATCTTAATAGCTGGTTCCCACAGGTTGGAACTTAAGGAAGAATAAGACAGATTGGGAGAAGTGAGAGACTCTAATTACAGAAACCTTTTCTGTACTTCAATTTCTCATTTAAAAATATAATTTTATTGTTATTATTAGTGTACAGAGGAGGTTACCATTTCATGTTAGGTAATGAGTATATTCTTTTCTTGGACAATGTCATCCCTTCCTTCACTTTTCACTCCTATACCTGCTCTCAAGTTATACTTTCTCACTTTTGTATCTAGAATAACTAAATGATAATTAACCCTGCTACAACTTCTGAGGCAATCAATG